ACCTCCCCTCAAAGAGTACGTTAAGCTTTTGGGGGAGTGACAATAGGAAACATCAAAATGATGGAAAAGCATACTAAGTAATTACAATAACGCCATTGGCGGTCCCCCTTACAAAATACAAGCAAAGCCCACCCATGACACACATGTTGACACCATGAAGACACGTGGTTGGCACTAGGATGGCTCACTGTAGGTGCTTGATGGCACGACGAAGGAGTCACCTGTGACAAGCTGGCACTACTGTTTTTAGCAGCGGTTTTAAATGATTGCCGCTAGAGTGTCTTATTCTAACAGCAGTCGCCATATAGCCCCCCTTCTAAAACTGCCTCTATTTATCAATTTTCCACGGAGATCCAGAGTCACGTTGATAGGCGTGGATAAAATTCTTGTGGGCAAGAGATCTGGAATCACATCCATTGTGGTTACTAGTTAGCTTAAGATTATATTCGTATTTCTTTGTGTTGGAATACTAATATTAATTTTCTAGATTTTCACCAAATACAACTTATATAAATAGGGTGCGATTATGATATGATATCAGAAAAACAACTATCCAATAAATTGAAATCATAAAAGTGGTAGTGAAGCAAGTGCCATTTTATCAAATTTTATAAATGGTCTTTGATTGTTCAAAACTCTTTCCATATCATAGATTTTCCCATTTAACATATGAAACATAAGTCAGAAAATGAGGCGCTCCCAAACGGTCACTATGTGATTATTTGTCGGACATCCCATTATCTACTGGCTACTGATGGGCGTAGTCCTATATAAGGTCGCCATTAAGCTGAATAACTGGCAGTAATTACGTACCCGTTTTGTTAAATACAGGCAAAGAATAAAATCATTTCAGTCCCATTTAACCTGGATAAAACTCTTTCATGACTCGATTCAGAACATAAAATAAATCTGGAAAAAAAAAACATGAATTTAAGATGGGATCTTGGAGTTTTCTCAAGAAGATGACCCAATATTATATTAGCGTATCAGGGAAGGTGAAGCTCTCAGAATCAGCAGATCGGGTCTTGGGTTGGTAGGGCTTGCATATCAGAAACTAGGGCTTGCAAAATCAAAGTTCAAAGTATCAACACGAATCAGCCCGTATTGGTCGATACGTATCGTGCTGATGGCTTCCCGATACACTCTTACAAGGATTGTATCGGGTCAGACCATGGTTCAGAGGGTAGACAAGATTTAAACCGACCCCTTTGAACCGATTTAAAAAAATAAATAAATAAATAAACCATAAAAAAGTACCAATATAGGCCGATATCCCTACTTGTGTATTGGCCTGTGTCGATAGTTTAAACCTTGTACCCAACCATATGAGTAATGGGTTAATACAGGTCAAATGACACATTAGGGTTAGGGAAAAAGGTCGAGATAGGATTTATAACCATGAGTATTTGGATTCAAATCTTTATATCCTCAAAATATTTTGAGATTTATTTTAAAGTAAGTTCAGTTCTAAGGCCAATTTTCTAGATCAGTTCAAGTAGAGTAAACCACTATACCCTGGAACTAAATTAGATGGGATTGATTCCAAAAATTTAGAACCAAACCTTATCTATTTAACATATTGGATAGGGTCGATTCAATACCGGTTTGAGGTCGATTCCACCAGTCCCATCCGATGGTTCACACTTCACATTAAGTCATAAACGATTAAAGTACATGTTTCTTACTTTTTTATGTAAGAGAAAATCTATGCTGCCAGGCATGGTACAACCATATATACCTTAAATCAATATGTATTCAAAATGCATTGTGATATCTCTTAAAAGTACTTTCCAATATTTCGAAGCTTTTTCTGTCAAGCATCCAATACTTAGATCCTTGGGTTTTATAATCTCAGCCCTACTGATCCGGTTGATGGTAACTCTTAAAACTTATCCATTGAACCAGACCTAACCAACCAGTCATAGTTTCAGCTATTTCAAGGAAATGAAACGTAAAACTAGGTACAAGAATCCTGACATAGCTTTATTATTCATTTCAAGGAAATAAAACTTAGGTACAAGAATCCTGACATAGCTTTATTATTCATTGATGATAGCCTGATGGCTAAAAGCATGGATCGCCTGAGAGAGAGAAGAGATTCGTAAAACCAAAAATGACGACATCAAGCATCAGAAACGTAAGGTATACCTAAAAAATAATTTTAAGAAATGTATTGGGATAAACTTTGGATACGTATAGACACGGACAAAAAATCAAGATATATATACATATAAAAGAAAATTCAAATAAATCCTAAAAAATATATTACAAACAATATTTACAAATTTTATATGATTGCAAATAAGTAATTTAAATGTAAAAAAACATAATTTAACAATTTATATAAAGTGTGACATTTCGGGACACAATTAGTAATCATTGAAAAATGATGAAATAACTAAAATGTAAAAAAAACAAAAAAAATACTAAAATGTGAATATCAATTTTCAAAAAACCAATATAATTAATCTTAATATTTATTAGTATATAAATTTTAATAATTAATTCTAACATTTATTAATAAACATTTATCACACATTAAGGAAAGTGAAACTTTACTTAAAATGAAAAATGCATATGATCATAGCAAACAAATATGTGTGGCTCATTAGTGAACTTGTGGTTCTTAAAATCAAGTGACCAAGGTCCAAATCTTGATACAGTTAAAATTTGAAGTTTTACACTAACAAAACAAAATTAATGAGAGGAAATTATTAATTAAAGGGATTAATGAAAGAATTTGAATTAGGAACTAAAATTCAAATTTAAATTTAAATTTGCTTGAGAATAATTGGCTAATTAATGAAAGAGAAATTAGACTTAAATAAAGGAGTAAGACACTAATGAGAGATTCGGTATTAAATATTGATTAACGAAATTAATGATGAACCGAAATGATCAAATGTATCGGGCTGTTTTGGATCTCTATCGGCCAAGCTGATACATACAAAAAGAAATGGAACAAATGATTTATACACATTGTGTACCGGGTTCTTGTCGGAACGATACATATAAGCTGATACAGCCCGATATGTTGCTATATTTTGACCCTTGGACGACATCTAATGCAGATCCTCAAATTACACCCAACAAGGGAAAGGCATAGCGAGAGGCATCATGTAAGCCAAATGGGATAAGAGTGAAACCCTAAAACAAGGGGAAGCAATCAAATACACCACTAAAATTAAAAGGTTCTTAATCAACGAAGAAGACTAAACCACCTATACAAGTGGCAACAAAGCCACAACCATCACTAGATTACATCGACTACACCAGAGTTCAACATTTTCACGGTGCCAAACAACAGTAACAGTCCAGCAGGCAGAAGATGCTCAGCTCAGCCTCAACGGCAGCAAAAAAATGCCTCTGCTACCAAAAGAATATTTGAAGATACAAGCACACCCTATGAAAAAAACCCGACCAAAGAACTTATTCAGGACCTGAGACCTTCACATTCCCCCTTGAGAAGAAAGAATTCCATCCGCCAAGTGTAACTGCAGATCATATAGACAGATAGCTTCCCCTTCCTCCTTTGATATTTAACTACTACACTCATTTGGAACTCATCACCCCAAAATTAGTATGTCCCCATAGGGGGCATGCCAAAAGGTGGCATTGGAGGCATACCCATGCCAGCCATAGGTGGTGGTGGTGCAAAACCTCCACCCATTGAAGCTCCTCCCATCCCTGGCATTGGCGGTGCAGGCAAAGCAAGAGGCAGCAACTGGGCATACATATTCTGCAATGAAAAAAAATGAATAAACCATAATTTCACTTCATCACACATCCAATAGGATAGAATTCTCCAATAAAAAGTGAGGAATCACAGTAGATGAGCCTCCCCCATTTGCATAAGGGTGGGATCTTGGTTCATTTCACAGGCATACCCTAGACCAAAATTTGGCTCATAAATAACTCGATCAAATACGATGCATCTCCATCCATCCATCCAAAAAGACACCGAGGCAAATTAAATGAGACTGACAACCAAATCGGGTATATTCAAGAATGGCTCACACAACCTGCAGTTTTGCAAGTGTGGAGAAGCAAACTGTTCCCCTATGAAAAGCATCCTGCCTACATATGGGAACACAAATACTCCAAGAGAAGCACTAAAGTCATAAAGCAGAGTTCTAATTGACATACCTGTTGTGCAACCATTTCCTTTTCCTCTTTCTCCTTAGCCTTCACTTCACTAAGAGCATTGAGTCTGTCCTTTATAAGTTCATCAACCTTGCTTGTATACTCACGGATAAACTGAAAATACAGATGTGAAGAATAGTGATGAATAACCTTCAAAATTAAATGTAAAAAATAATAATGGTTGAAACAAAGAGATCACCTGCAAGAGATAAGGGAAAGCAAAGTCGACCATATTGTTCATCCAGGCAAGTTCTAATGCAACATCAGGCCGAATTAAATCATAACAAACAAAGAGGCAAGAAGCAAAGCACTCCTTCTTTCCCTGAATATACATCAGACAAAAAAAGCTCAAAATTTTGCAGAACAAAAGAACCCAGGTGAATAGGTGAAATGGTAATTTGTTGGTTAGAACTTTTTAAATCTCTTCCAAGACGGTTAGGAAAATAATTCTATCAGTGTGATTAAAATATTGACTAGGTGTCAACGAGGCAATGGCAATTATCAGGACTAACCAATGGGGGGTAGGCCATACCTCAAACCCATACCCCCCCCCCCAACCCTGGTGGCAGCGGTTCTGGATCTGCCCACACAATTGGTGTCAACTTGCCACATGAATAGATCATGTGGCAAATCACCAGGACTACCTAAAGGGGAGTAGCCCATCCCCCAAACCCATAACCTCCCAACCCTGGTGACAGCGGGTCTGGATCTGCCTAGACAATAGGTGTCAATTTGCCACATGCATAGAGAGGGTCATGTGGCAAATCTTTGGCATGCTCATTTAAGATCACAAATTGTGTATAGATATCGCTCCTAGACAACACATCTAGCAAAAGTAAACTTCCCATCTTGAAAAAACAAACCAAGATGAGAAGGGAGAATAAAGATAGGAAAAGCAAGAAAGGTTAAAAGATGTACCTGCTCAATGAAATAAACAAGCAACTCCTCTGAAAGTTCACGGTCACCAGACTGTGAACATGTTTCCATGGCATCTTTGTAAAGGTTGTCTTTCTTAGACAATGCAATGGACTGTCTCCATCTACCTGCTTTCTTGTAAATATAAGCTGCAATGCGTCTCATCTCAAGAAGCTCATGTTTCTCAACCTGTTCAGACACATTAAGATTTAAGCGAAAATATACACTTTATGGTCAGTCAATAGGGGCTTAGTAAAATTATGCTTACCTTCTGGGCTAGGCCTATTTGATCAAAGTTATCATGCATATCAATTGATTCTCGCAGTCTATCATAGTCCTCCTCCTCAACATAGATCTCATTCAAAGCTTCATTCACAGCAGCAACATTGTTGCTCTGAACTGCTACCATGTATGGCTTCACAAGGTGCAGGTGACCCGCCTGAAACTCAAAGAAACAATTGCATAACCAAGACAATGTTAATCCAGTATACATTTTGAAGCCTAATAAGGGAGTGAAATATGGAAAATCAAATTATCATAAAGAGCACAACCAGACCTTCCGCATTATGTCTACTACACGTGTATGGTCCACACGAAGGGCAAGTACATTGAGAAGATCGTTAATAAGATCAGGATGTTCCTGTAGGTAGAAGTGAACCGCCTTGTAGTAGAGCTCCACATTTGCAACTTTGACTGCAACATCTTTGAATTGCATGTGGTCCCATGCTTCCGGAGAATGGTTCATAATGGTGGTTGCAGCATTGTCAAACTCATCATATTGTATATACAAATAGGTGAGTTCCTTCCAGTGCTGTTGTTCATCACAGGCTCGTATTAGCTTTGGAATGTTAAGACGTGTTGAGAACAGTTTAATGTGTTCCATAAGCTTCTCTGGGCGGTATCTAGCATATAGGACTCCCAACTCGGTAAAGATGCCCATATGTGCGCGCTCCAAGCCCAGACCACTTTCCATGAGAGAGATTAGCTCATTGAAGCATCCTCTGTTCTGGTAATAGTCACTAACCTCCTCCAAGTCATCCACCTAGAACAGCCAACAAAATACTATGATGTAAATATGCATTCAGATCTAATCAATTAGAAAAAGGTAAGCTTGTGCTATACAAACAAAGAATGATCTGAGGGACCAACAATCAAAAGGGTAGGCCGGTGCACAAGGGTACCACCAATGCGGGGTCTGGGGAGGGACCAATGTACGCAGCCTTACCCCTGTACATACAGAGAGGCCGTTTCCAAGATTTGACCTTGGTCATCCAAGTCACAATGGATCAATTGGAAACAGAGGTTGTTTCCAATATGAGGGACCAGTACGTGGAACCAAAAAGAGGTAATTGATATTGAACAATTTGCCATGGTTAACAGAGAAGCTATATAACAAATGACCTTCCAAATCAAAATAACCATTGATAAAGGAGGATGTTTATATATGCACCTGTATTATGATGTTGAGCCCACAAATTTGTGCCAAACGGAACTCTTCAGCATCAACACAAGCAAAGCAAACTTCCTTCCATGTCTTTGAACTATTCGCCTTTCGAGCTGCATCTACTGCACCTTGGAACTGCCTCAACTTCACAAGTGTAATTGCAAGTTTGGCCCAGTTAGAAATAAATGCAAAGATAATCTTTGCAGCCTCATACAGGGCTTCATCATACAAGCGATCACCAACATTTTGGAGATTGGCTACATTTGGCATTAGAATAAATTCCTCAATCTCACCTAGCCTGTCAATCTTGGCATAAGCATAAATCAGTTCACTATCCACCTTGGGCTCCTTCAACTTCTGCCTCACCATCAGAAGATACCTCACCAAGTCATGGTACACATTGGCATCCTCAGCAGCCCGGATGACATCCAAGAATTGAGTGGCATCATCTGCACGGATAAATGATTCAATTGCATCACTCACTAGTCCCTCCCTGAGTTGGGCCTTGGCCACTTGGCTCCAAACAGCATCCTCTTCAACACGGAATGCAAATTCCACGGCTCGTTCAATGCTTTGAATGTTGTCCAAAAGAACATTCACAGCCTGGACATTCAAGTTGAACTTCTTGAAGATAGCAAATGCTTCTTCATATAATTGTGCTTCCACTGCCACCTCTCCAACTGCAGGTCCATCAAAGTTGTCTAACCTATTAATGTAATCCATTACCCTCGATGCATCTGCTTTGATAGCTGTCAGGATCAAGAGATTCTGCAAATTGAAGTTTCCGCTGAAGGCTGAGTTCTGGAGCACAATCTTTTCAAGAAGCTCAATCAACTCATGTGGGAGATCAGCTGTCATGAATGCTTTAACAGCTGCAGAAACTTGCTCAGGGCTCTTGCTTTCAGGCAAGGCAGTAGATACAACTTGATCAATAAGCTGTCTCCTATACACATTATCAGGTCTAAGAATGTTTTCCCAAAGATCAGAATCCATTCTCTCAACAACGTATCTGAAAGGGAAGGAAAGGGTAAGTATAATTCAAAACAAAAAGAAAAGCACAAGGGTACAATAACATGTAACTACTGGATAAATAGTATATAAACCTGGCCTGCAGCTTGAACAATGAATTCTTATTTGTGACATTGATAAGTTCATCATCACACTGTCCTCTTCGGTAAGCAATAACTGCCAGTGTAGGGTCCCGTTTCTCACAATATTTACCCACAACACGTGAATCATAGTATGGATTGGTGGTGAGAAAATGCTCTGGATTGTTATTGCTGTCAATGATGATTTTACCAAGAGCATTATGAACATGTACATCCTGACTTCCCTCGCTCACAAGATGCTCCAGGAACTGAGTGAGTAAACGGAGGCGATTCCTGCAACCAAAAGGCAAAATCATGAGAGGGAGGGAGGGAGGGATGTTGGAAGGGGGAGAGAAAGCGAGAGAACAAACCTTTTCTCACACTCTTCAACAAGGGGCTCCACTGGAAGGAGGGAACGAACAGAAAGAATAAGGCCTTTAATGAAATCTTCTGGGCACTCATCATCAAGCAGCTGCCCTACAACTAGAGGTGCATTTCCAGGGTTGACCTGTTAAGCAAAAAGATTCAAAACATTAGTGAAGGGGTCACTGCTTGGTGCAATGGTAAAATCTTGGGCTGACAAGCATGACAATCCAGGTTCAATTCTGCAAACTTTTACCTTTTGAACATAGCCTTCAATATATCGAAGCATATTGTTTGAATAGAGATAGTGTGTAAGATCTGGAACAAAACCAAAACGATCACAAACATTTATCAATGGTCGTGCATCAGGAAGCTTTGCTTCCATTAGAAAGTTCTTTGTCTTCTCAGGGTCATAGAAATTTGATTCTCTTGTCACACGTTCAACCTCTTTTATTTGTCCAGTTTTAGCAGCTGCTTCGATGTACTTAAAATGAATATCAGGATCCTCACTGTCCCAGTAACAAAAATAACCTAAATAAGCAAAAGAATTTGACTGTAAAAACAAAGAAAAGAGCACTACTTTTATTCCCCAGAGGACATACCTGGAGCTCAAATATGATCCCAGAAAAAAGTACAATCCTTCATATGACTTAAATTGTTCAAAGAGTTTTATACAAGAATCAACACCCAATTGCTCACAATATTCTTTTGCAGTCTGCAAGAAACATACTGGTGAGACTAGATTAAAGAATTGGAATAATAAAATACTAGATAAAGAACAGAAAGTTACCTGCACAATTATCTGCAGATTTCCTCTAAGATTAGTAAGTAAAAGGTCCTTCATGCACTCCAGTGCCCACTCTCTGGAAAGGGTCCCAAAGAACTCTACAAGTGACTGGAAAAATATGCAAATTTAGTAACAAATTTTCACTTCCACAAACCAAATAAGAGAAAATGTTATAACATTGAAGCACACAAACCTGTGGTTCAATGGCATGTGTATTCACAATCACACGTTTGATATCTGGCAACTCAGTATAATGCTGCATGAAGAAACCATGTTTAATCCAAGGAAAAGTGGTAGCTCTCTTTAACACTGAAGTTCCCATTTACAATTTTCAAGCACACACTTTACCTGAAGAGCACGCATGTACAAACCAGCTTTCTCACAAAGTTGAGCAATTCGAGGACGATCATAGTGACTAAACATTCCATTAGCTAAAATAGCATCCGCTACATTTGGAAATGTCACTAGATTGATCTCCAAGACCTGAACAGAGGACAAATGTCATGGAGGCTGACTACATGAGTGAAAATGAGAAACACATAGTATAAGCTTGATTAAAAAGCAATAACCTTTGTCTGAAGGTATCCATGCTCTGGCAAATTTGGCTTCAGAACATCTAGCAAAAATGCTGTTGCCTCACGGATCATGTTCCTCTGGAGTAAAGAATACCAAAAACAATTGTAAGACAATTACATGAAAGAAAATGTGCAATAAGAGGAGAAAGAATAAAAGCAGTTGTTAGCCAAATGAAGCATGAACTGCAAAGCAAGCACAAATTTTTCCACTTAAATACAATATCAGATAGCCAACCAAACATAATTTCACCCTACTGTCAAACTAACCCTCCTCCCTTCCAAAGAAAAAAAAAAAGATGAAATGCAGAGCACAAAAGATGAACCTGAAGGAAGAGATCGGTGATCGTATTGTAGTCAACTGGGCAACCACCCTCCATTTGTGACATCATAAGTGCAAAGTTAACAGCACCCTGCCATCCAGAAATAAATTCTGAGCTATTGTTCAAAAGAAATATGCTTCAGTGAAATTTATTTTAGCAAAGCATGTAAAATGCAGGAAGAGGGCTGCCATCCACCAGATGTTTGAAATAGCCAATTTTCAAGGGTTCAAGTTTCACCTTAACAGTTCATCAAATTGAAAACAGAAAAAGATATGAAATTGCTCAAAATATTTTTAGGCAACATAAATAAAGTACCTGTGGATCGGATCTCAGAATTGTTTGCAGAAGGAATAGATAGTCAGGTGTGTATCCAACCTGTATTATGCAGAAATCATGTCCTTTGAGTATTAGCACTCAATGATATAAAGAAAAAGGTCGAAAAAAATAATAAAGAAAAAGATAAATTCTTCATTAGCTGTATTTTCCCAAACTTTCAAAACAATAAAAGTCATGTTTACAGGATGTGGGATAACTGCCAACATGCAAAACATACAACAATTACCTGCTTCGAGTATATGAGAATTTTGTCAAATTCTCTTCGTTCAGCAAAAGCTGCAACAACCTTTGGGGTGGCCCTAGCTTTGATGTATATTTTCAGAGCAAGATCATTATCCACAGTCTACAAAGGAAACATGCATCAAGATACCAAAAATGAGAAGAAAGGAATCATCAAACCAAATTAAAAGTAAAGGATGCAAACTGAATGCAGAGAAATAGGATGCAGTTTTTATAATATATAAATGTTGCAGGAGAGTCTCTACTAAATTTCTCATAGAAGTAGTATAACAAAGTACAATTTCAAATTCACAACCAAACCTTCACAAGATCTCCAAGCTCCTCACTACACTCAAGCTTGTCTTCAGCTAACCAATTCTCCAGAAGATTCTTTTTATTCTGATTCACAACAAGGCGGGACAACTCCAGCGACTCAAATGGATTAAGTTTCCCTCTAGTCAAGAGAGTTCCAAAATACTGCAATAGAGGTGGCGTTTGTCCAGCTTGCACAGGAACACTCTGCAAAATATAAGTAAAATAAGTTGAACTGGATTAAACCTTTTCCAAAATTTCTAAGACAATAAAACAAGGAATAATAGTAATTTCTTGTTTCTTTAACAAAAGCATTATATCCAAGAGAGCAAATGACAAACCCTTAATTAAAAGAAACATGCCTTCAAGGTTGAGTATAGTCTGACACAGAAGGTATTATCAGCAGTAAGGAAAACAAAACAAAAAAGAACCCAGGCTAACAGCGATTTATCCTTACTTAAAGACATTCAGTCCAAGAAACCCCATATGATTAGTAGTTGCAATAAGGCCGGTCTTGAATCATTAAAAAGTAGAGGTATTTGCTTGGCTGGTTGCATTGTACAGCAACCTTATGCAAGATAACTTGAAAAGCAGAGGAATCCAGTTAGAGAAAAGATGTTATTTGTGTGAACGTGCAGAGGAAGAAGTTCATCTATTAGTTGGTTGTGGCTTTTCCACTCGGGATTTCCTATTCACTTTTCCTACCTACTCTCTACCCATCGTGAATTGGAACAACACATCTCTATTATGAATTAAGAGATGTGTGGCTCCAATTCACAGCGGGTAGAGAGTGGGTAGGAAAAGTTTGTACGGAATCTGGGCCTGGCTTTTCAAAGTACATCCAGAGTTTCTTCTTCAGGTTGTTTGTTGTGGTTATGTGGGTTCCAAGAATTCCCAAGGAGATTCTCTCAGACTTTCCGGTTTAGAATGGAAATAAGAAAGTTAAAATTGTTTGGTCTTGTGTGCCATTTGGGATTCACTAGGATGTTTGGAAACAAAGGAATAGGAGATTTTTTGTGAAGAACCAATGAAGAGATGTGTTCAGTCATTGGGAGGAGAATTTCGAATTTGATTTTGATTCTTCCAGAATTTTCAGGTGTTACAAGAGAGTTGTTTGGGACCAGCTTTTGGAAATCTTTGGAGCTGGATTGGAGGGATTGATGTATTGTACCTTTTTTTGTCTTTTCTTTTTGTTGGACGACTTCTCATTACCTCTTCGGTTGTGCTTGTCTTACTTTTAATGATTTTTTGTATTTGTCTCCATAAAAAACAAAACAAAACAAAACAAAGGATCAAGAAAAATAGAAATTTCGTGTTTAAAAGTATAGAAAACAAATGGCAATAAATCATATAAAAGAAACAGACATTCAAGGCAGGACTTGGTCTAAAGAAAAAGGGCATCATTAGCAGTGTGGCAAGTACACAGGAAACCCATGAAGAACAATAGGGAATTGGAGTGTCACTTTTTTATCCATTTTCACTTTGCTTTTATGATTTGGTACCAACTCCAGATGTTTTTTGGTATCAAGTTTAACATTTTGTGGTGTCTGCATGGCACCTTGTCTGGCAGAAAGAAGGTTTGCAAAGATATGTATTTGGGAGTATCTTTAAATGCAAAGGTCACTCCAAGAGATTATCAATTTAGTTGTAACTAATTTCCACTAATGAACTATTCAAGTGCATAATATGATAATAGTTGAATCTTGAATGTGAAAAATTAGTTCTGTTCATTCAAGGGTCTGGCATACCATGCAGGAACTGTTTATTTTTGGTCCCTTCCCCAGGATGACACCATCAAATTGAAATCTAATGTTTGATCTATTTGGACCCTGGGGACAACAGGAACTGGAGATGTTTCTAGAAACAGTGGGGCCACCATGATTTAGTACTTATTATCCTAGGCAGAGAACAATCAACAATTGTGCAAGAGACAAGGTCCTTGAACCTTTCCCATGGCCTCCAACATTTATATCACTTTGGTTATGATGAGCTTTAGTGCAGAGCAGGATACTCTATCAGCTGATCATATGGTTCCTCAAATGACCTGCGTGTTCAATACTTTCATATTATCAAACAGTCATTTTTAGGTGGCTAGACAGAACATACAAATGCAAAAATGTGCTAACGACTTGGCAAACAGTCTCACAAACAGCGGTGTCACAAGGTTGGAAAAATTTTTCAATCTGATCATTTATTTTTCTTCATTATGTTGCCAACATTTTGCTTCATTATTTTTCTTCAAAGCCACTGCATAAATTTTTCTTTCTCTTTATAAACAAAATACATAGCCATAGCAAATGAGCAAATATAGCAACAATATTATAATAAACTTATAGAAGCTACACAAATAAAATCTGTTATAAGTCATATAAAAATTACAGTACCTGAAACTTTGCAACAGTATCAGGAGTACGAAGAATTCCCTGTGGAGACTCTGCAGCAAGCTCTGCAGCTTCCTTATATTTAGTCTGAGCAAACAGTTCTTGGAATCGCTGCACAACCTGAGTAATAGAAAGATAAGTTATAAATAGGCATGTTTTTAATATGGAATTTAAGTACATGACACATAAGACTAACAGCATCTTTACAATAAGACCTAATAAGCAGTTCATACATACAACACTCAGACATCATACACCAATAATTAGGAGATTTATACCAAAAATAACTGATAAAAAAAGATTTAAACAATAAATTTTGAAGCATTAAATAAAACATTACTATTGCTGGTATGAGAGCATCAGAACACTGGGTTGAAGTCTGAGTGTGACCACTTTGTGCAAAAAATACCAAAGGTTATGACTCTATCTAGTCTACCTCTCAAGACCCCAGATAACTGGGACCAACATTGGGTAATGGCCTTTATTACTTGTATGACTCATCACTCATGCTTGTAGTCCTCACCATCTGAAAGACCTGGTTTTCTTTCTTTGTTCCTTTTTGTTCTTTTGAGAAACCTAATAGTAAATTCATTTCATAAGGGTCGAAACGAACCCTCAAAATATACAGTGAAACACTGTATAAACATATACAAATGCTCTTCTGCAAAAAAGGAAAAAGCAGCAGGAAGAGAGATGCTCTTGGCTCATCAAAAACAGCAACAGAGAATGGAAAGTGACACTTCTGAACAGCTTAAACACAAAAGCCAAGAAAAAAACAACCCCACAACTTTTCTAATAGCTTAATCCTCCTGAGACACTTTCTTATTGAAGATACGAGAGTTTCTTTCAATCTATATCGACCATACTGCAGCTGCTGAAAATACTTTCCAAACTGCCCTTCCACTAGCATTTGTCCCCCTATTCTCCAGCTTTTTGCCATCTCTCCAAGAGACTCAGGAAATACCCAGCTCAACTCCAGCCTTGGTAAGAAAAAAGGCCAGATTCTCCTGCTGAATTAGCGAAGGATAAAAAGATGGTCTACAGATTCCCAGTCACTGGAACATAACGCAAAACCATTGGAAGGGTTTCTCTTTTTAACTTTTCCTTTTTATCAAGGATGAGGTGATGTGAAAAAATAAAATTAAAAAAAAATAACATTTGGGCACTTTTCAGGAATATGTCTTGTACATATTTCTCAGAATGGCAAATCATTGGAGAAAGAACAAGAAGGCATTCTCTGGGATCATTTGTTCTCTTTTTTTCCTTCCTTTTTCATTCTTCAATGTTGTGCTGAAGAGATGGATTGCCAATTCTGACTAACAACCTAACCCCATAGGCAGATCAACCAAAGTTATGATTGAATATCAAAATCCCTACAAAGAAATCAAACTTGGCATCCTAAGAAAGTCAGGCATAAAATTAAAGATTCCCTGCATTCTCCAGGAATCAATAATAATCAGGAATTTCAATTAAGTGGAAAGAAATAGAAATAGAGGATCACTTTACCAAATTCTCCGCCCCGGGAAGGTTTCCTCTTTTGGCAAGATTAACAGCAAGCTCTAGATTGTTCAACTGTAACAGTCAATGAAGAGCATTTATCAACAGAACAAATAACTAGCTGCAATCAACCAGAAAAAACAATAATTCAATCTTCTATAGCACAAAAGAGAAGATTATACATGCCTGACCACTGACAAAAGGAACAATCATTGCTTCATTGACAGTAGCCAATAACACCTGGCCTCGTCTATTCACAGCATAGAATCCACCAACTGAAGAAGCTTCAGTTGTCAAAAATATAGGATCTGGACTAATACGATTTCTATAAACTGCAGAAGCAGTCTCCAAGTCATATACAAATAAAAGACCAAGCTTTGTAATTACATATATCAAACTGTACTTGTGGGATATCTGCAAAATAAGACAGAAACTTGGCATTGGTCTACATTTCATTGGAACTTAGTGCAAGTATAGTTGGTTAAAGAATATGCCTGCATTGCCACAGGGAAGTCATCAGCAAAATCTGGAGGGAAGAAAAGATCTGCTTGCTTCTTAGTAAAAGCTGGTTTGCCTGCTCCCAAGATTTCACACATCAGTAATGCATCACTAATTGGATGTTCAAGATAGCAAGATAACCAAAGAGAAGTGATTTTCAATATAAAAGAAATATGATATCACAGTTCAGAAGCTGAAAACACATCATTTCCCAAATCCACAACATGAAAGAAAATCATTGAGCATATACAGAGTTCAGATCTGCTGACCAGTGACCACAACACATTGCTGTCAACGCTCATCCAGCTGCAGTTCAAGAATATTGGCAGTGTAAAGTACAACCAATGTTCCAAATGTGCAGTTGGGGTGAACGTGGCTAGAAATGTGTTGTGGGAAGCAGATCCGAACTCTATACAGAGAAAAAATGCAAGAGGATCAGTATATATATATATATATTCTTTTTTTGTAGACACATTGCAATACAGTAAAAACAATCAACTCAATTTGTAATTTCAGGATATGTCGGAAGAAGGTTAACAAAAAACATAAATCAAATGATAATTCTGAACAATATTGCTTCTTTCCGCTATATATATATATATATATAACTCTTTCTCCCCTTTATAATAAATAAGTACAAGAACTATAAGGATAAATGCAAAGGGGTAATTGTTGGTTCAGTATCTGGATAAGCTAGTAATTTCTTATCACCAGCTTTTCCACTCTTCCAATCTAAGTAATAAATTTTACCTTTACCATTTAAAAAAAAAGGCAAGTAAAGAAAAAAAGACCTGGCTGAGCACCAAGTTCAATCACATGCAACTTTGATGTAATCTGGCCAGCATTGGTGGTCTTTGAGGCAAAACAAATAAGAATAGAAGGGTTTTCATTTCCTGGAACCTGTATACAGAAACAGAAACAAGTACAATGCCCTGATTTAAATAAAAGAGTGATATGACGCTTGCTCAAAAATCACAACTTGCAGAAAAGAAGAGAAACAAATAATCAAACCTTAAATGAGGCAAATGATGCAGCATGTGCTTCAAGAGCTTGACTGCGCTGCTGATCCACAGAGAAAAGCTGCATATTTCCTTTGACCAGTTGGGGCCTCTACAACCAAATTTTAAAAGTAGAATAAAAACTCTAGCAGTTATAATGGTCAGAAGAAAAACCATAAAAGTTTATTGTTTAGCCATCACCAGATAAAAAAATAAGATCATAACTGATCAATATAGCCTCTAACACCATATGAAGCCAATGATATTGAATGAAAAGTGATCAAAAAACAGGGGAAAGAGTAAAAAAAAATTAATTCTAATCAGCAAGGAAAGAATCAATAATAGCATCCAGGGGCGCAAGGCAGGAGCCACTGCATGGTGTAACGGTAAAATCTTGGCCAACAAGCATGAAAACATGAGTTTCTGTAAGTGGCAACTTTGTGCTAAAAACAAATGCCAAAGATTAGGTCTGTATTCAAGACCCCAGATAGCTGGGACCAACACCAGGTAATGGCATTTTATATAGGGATGCAAGTCAGATTGGATCAGGTTGAGTTGAGGTCAACCCCAACCAATCACAGGTTGTTGAACTCTCCAACTTTAACCCAACCTGATGACTTTGGGATTAGGTTAGCCCAATTTATTCACTTCTTTTTACCTTAAAAAAAATGTTCTCACTACTCAACTTGGAATTGTCCAATTAGTGTTAACTACATATGGGGAGAAGGTTATGGTGCGTTAAGACTTAAATAGTACCATACTTACATTGAATTATTTTTTTAACTTAAAATTATTGATACATATGCCCACATACATACATGGATGCATGAATATGTGTGTGTGTGTGTGTGTATATAATATAATATAATTGAATACAGACTTGAAACAGATCCATCAGAGAACCAACTTGGCTTTACACGAGGGAGATCAACCATGGAAGCTATATTTCTTTTGAGACGATTGATAGAAGAGAGAAGAAAGATCTTCATATGGTGTTCGTTGATCTAGAAAACGCTTATGATAGATTTACTAGAGAGATCATGTGGTCGGTCTTGGAAAAGAAAGGGATTCAAAATACATATATATAGACCTAATTAAGGATATGTACGAGGGACAACAACCAATGTTCGAAGACCAATTCGAGAGACTTCAGATTTTACTGTCACGAAGGTTCTTCACCAAGGTTTAGTACTTAGCCCTTATCCATTTGCACCGATGATAGATGAATTGACTAAACATATTCAGGAAGAAGTTCCATGGTGCATGTTGTTTGCGGATGACATTGTTTTAATTGATGAAACTAATGAAGGATTAAATGCAAAAATTAAGCTTATGGAAAAATGCCCTAGAAACAAGAGACCTTAAAATGAGTAGGACTAAAATAGAGTATGTGGCATGTAAGTTTAGCAATAATAGGAGTGTAAATCAGGATACACTTACAATTGGAGAGATAACTCAACGTGACCATTTCCAGTACCTTGGTTCAATAATTATAACATGGGAGAGATTGAGGAGGATGTCACCTAGAGAATTAGAGCAGTTTGGGCAAAATGGAGGGATGCATCTGGACTTTTGTGTGATAGGAGAATACCACTTAGATTAAAAGGAAAATTCTATAAAACAGATGTAAGGCCAGCTATGCTGTATGGAACTAGTGAAAAGGATTCATGTGGTTGGATAGAACTTTAAATTGAGTTGAATTGTTTTTAACTAGAAAACTATAAATAAATAAACAACTTATTGCATAACCATCAACTGCAAATCAAATTGCATGAAATTCAAAGGATTCCTCGTTATTCTACATTTTCTTTTATTGGTGCATTAAAACTCTTGAATATGCTTGGATGCTCCTATTGGTAAATACTACAACTAAGAGAAAAAAAAAAAATTATAGGCAATGGAACACTTAATCATTGAAGGCAACTCTAAACTGGTTGTTAGGTGGTTAGAAGAGCCGGAAATGACAGCATGGTCCTATAGAGGGGCTTTGAGAAGGTTCAGATGATTAAAATCAAATATGTCAGTCACATTTCAATGGGAAAGAAGATCGGAAAATGTCTTGGCAGATTCTTTAGCCAAACAATGGGTACATACATAGGAATCAGTTTTTTGGGGCTCATTTGTAAGCTTTATGATATAGTTTAGAGGCGGCATCTCATGCCTCTTTATGGGGATTTTGTGATATGTATCCTTTGTGCTGTTTAATAAAATAACGTTTATCTATCAAAAAAAAAAAAGAAAAAAAGAATGATAAATTTAGTGGAGATATTAAGTAAGCACATGTTGAACTAAACATTCAGAGTTCCTAGCAAAGCATGTAACTGTACATGCAACATATTGAAAATGCTTTGTTCCTGGTCATAACAAATCTGATTCACAACAACATATACAAACAATCAAACAACCAAAAAAAGAGGCATCTCCAAAAAGAGAAGTTGTTACGGGACCCTCAAGAAAATGGTAAATATGGCAAATAACACCACCATTCTTTATTCCAGTTTCCAATTTGTTCAACATAGAAAGCTAGGACCCCAACAATCAAAACAGAGCGTTATGTACATGAAAAAGGCAGAAATTTATAAGATTTAGGTCACAAATCAAAGAGACATGATGATATTAAAGTTGCAAGTATGAGATGCTTATTTAGAGCATGGTTTAAAGTATCGATAAACTCATAAGCCCAAATGTATTGGCAGGGGTGTATCAGTACTTTAAACCATTCACGTTTTATCTTTTTTAGTTTTTGTTTTTCAAAGTTTCATTTTATAGATGTCTTTATATTATTTAATAAATAAAATAAAGGGTTTCCTGAAAACACCTTTAAACAGGTGTATCGGAACCCTCACGATGTGTATCATATCGATACTTTGAACCTTGATTTAGAAATAAACTCAGTTTGAAGTAATGAAATATAACGCAACTACATACCTCAGGTGATCCTGGAGCAATGCCAATCAAAACCAACCACTTCTCTGAAGGATCACACCGATAATTAATTATTTGGTTATTCGCCAAATTAGCTGTCCTGTCAAACATCTTTACAGGCTCCGAGTCACCTGCATAAGAAATTTAGTTAGACATGCTAAAAGAAACTATCCAACCATAAAATCATCAGGAACAATATCTGAAACATAAAAATAACCCATTGGACAAGAAAATTTTGAAATATTGAAACTAGTCAAGTAAAGTTGTCATGGGAAAGGGTATCTTGCCTTCAATTGACCAATGATATACTGAGGTTTGTGTAACCAGGCCCAACAGTTTTGGGGTAATCCATTTCCAAAAGGCAACCTAAACCAAAAAACAAGGTGAAAATACTGAAGACTTGAATAAAATCGTTCACCTCAAAAGTCAAAGTCAAAACAAAATAAAGTCTGAGAAGCATTTGACATGTCCTAGTGAGAGAAATGGTTCCATGTCCACCTGCTCAGGCATCTGATGTGATTTTATTTTTGCTTTCATTTCAATGTTGAATATCTGCAGGTGATCCTGTGTAGTTCCCGGAAGTTGAGCTTCAAATAGAACAAAATAATTCATCAGCCAGCTAGGAGACAAACAGTAAGAATAACCAAATGTGTAACACATTATGGAACTAGATTTTGTTCAGGGCATCATAATCAGGAACTTACCAGTTGTCCACAATAAGAATGTGATATGAATATTGGAAGAATGTGTACTGTCAAAGGGAATGGGACAACAGCATAACAAAGCATTTCCATGACATCAAACTAATGGTTTGATGATCAACTGTTACCCCTTTTACACAGAAGGAAAGATACAAGTATACCGAGTTGGATAAACATACAAAGCAACCAATTAAGACATAATAAATTTAGAAGGAAGATTGCGTACTACAGATGGCTAATAGCGAAGCCAGTATACATTGACTGATACAACCTCAAAATGAAGGAGATATCGAAAGCAGATGTTATGGACGCCTTCCTGGGAAGACATACCATCGCCGCCAGCAGCAACAGGCACCTAACCCACCGCCAGCAGCAGCAGTGATTCAGTGATGCTCATCCTACCCAATTCGGCAACAGCAGCCTTATCTAGATTAGATTAGTTCATCTTGCTTGTTCTTATCTTATTGTTCTTATCTCTTATCTTGTTAATAGCTTATTAGATTAGGATTAGCTTAGCTTATCTTATCTTGTTAGTAGCTTATCAGATTAGGATTAGCTTATCTTATCCTTAGCAAGATA